AAAAAAAAAAAAAAAAAAAAAAAAATTAAAAGTACAATTCAATGCCCCAAGTACATTCACAGTGTCGTGCAACTATCACCTCTGTCCACCTTCAAAACTTTTTCATCACTTGCACAGAAACCCTGCACCCATTAGATAATAACTCCCAGCCTAACTTCTAGCCCGGTGTGGTGGTGCACATTTGTGATCCCAGCACTCTGGAGGCTGAGGCGGGAGGATCTCAGGAAGTTGGAGGCTGGCCTGGGCTACACAGTGAGTTTAAGGCCAGCCTGAATTACTGAGCAAGACCATGTCTCAAAAAATAAAACAAAATAAAACAAGCTCCCATCCCTCTTTGCCTTGGTCCCTGATAGCTACCATTCTGCTATTTGTCCTATGGACTTGCCTAAGAGACAGCATACCATACTTGTCCTTTGGCTCTGGCTTATTTCATTTAGCACAATGTTCCCCAGCATAAGTTTAAATTTAGATTTTCTTTCTTTTTTTTTTTTTTTTGATGCCAGGGATCGAACTCGGGACCTTGCGCTTGTGAGGCAGGCACAGCGCCACTGAGCTAAATCCCCAGCCTCCTAAAGTGTATTTTTAAAGACATTCTTATTTGGAAAGAATTTCAAAAATGAGACATAGGTAACAGAAATAAAAATGGTTTAAGACACACCTATAAATCCTTTACCCAGATGTAGTTGCTGTTAACATTTTTGCTTTGTTTGCATGCAATTCTCTTACACAATTTTTACCTCTCAACTACTTAAGGACAATCTGTAAGTATGGCTTTTCACCTCTACGTTCTTCTGTGTGCTTGCCTGCAAAGAAGGGTATTCTCTTACATAGCCAGTGTCAGTACTGTCTATATTCCGATTTTGTCAGTTACTCGCTAATGTACTTTATAGTCATCTCCCCTCTAGTACAGGGGAGAATCTAGTCTGTCTAGAATTTAACACTTAGGTCTTTTTGGTCTTCTTTAGCCCAGACCATTTCCTCAGTCCCTTTTCTTTTTATTTGCTTTTTTGAGACAGGGTCTCCCTGTGTACTCCAGGCTGGCCTTGAATTCACTAGATAGCCTCAGCTGGCCTCGAACTTGTGGTGATCCTCCTGCCTCAGCCTCCCAAGGGCTGAAACTACAGGTGTGTGCCACCACGCCCGGCTTGTGACATGAGTATTTTTGAGGAATAGTCATTTCCTATCCAATTTTAATAAAGTCATTCTCATTTTGGGTTGTGATATTTCTTCATGATTAAATCTAGATTGTGCATTCTTGGCTAGAATATTATGTAAATAATTATAATATTTAATAATATTATAACTTAACAATTACAATAATAATTATTGAGGTACTTTATAATGAGGTACATTCCCAGCCTTTTTTATATATATATTTTGAGACAGTGTTCCCTAAGCTGCTAAGTTGCCCAGGCGGGGCTCTAACTTGTGACCCTCCTGCCTCAGCCTCCCAGAGGGCTGGGATTACAGGCATACACAACCACAGAAATTATTTTGTGTTGTTCTCAGGGTATGACATTTAGAGGCACATCACGTCCACCTGCTGTTTCCTGGTAACATTAATTTTGACGGTCAAGATGCTGCCCTACTTCTCCATTTGTACAGTAAGTATTTTTTCCTTTGCATTTAAAAACAGGCTGTGGATAACACTCTTAAATATGCAAATATTCTGCTCCTCACTAAAAGTCTTTATCTCTGGGGCTGGAGACATAGTTCAGTGGTAGAGTGCAAGGCCTTGAGTTCAAATCCTAGTAACACACCCACACCCACACCCACACAGTCCCCCATCCCCCTTCAGATTAGCATTTATTAGTGATATGTACATGTGTGTATGTGTGTCAGGTAGAGACTGAACTCAGGCTCATCACACACAGCTACATCCTTGCCTCTTAAAAGATTTTTAAATTTTATTTTAAGATAATCCAGGGCTGGTGATTTAGCTCAGTGGTTCCGCTGCCTGCCCCACAAATGCAAGGACCTGAGTGTGATCCCTGGTACCAGAAAAAAAAAAAAGATAATCCATAGGTTGCCCAGGGTGAGCTTGAATGTGTAGCCCTCCTTCCTCAGCCTCCCAGAGTGTTGGGATTACAGGTGTGCATCACCATGCCTGGATCCATTCTTGATTCTTTTTTTGCTTAAATTCTTTTATTGGTACATTTTCGGTATACAGTACGTTTACATTTATCACTGGGTACTTGTACCTGTACATGATGTATCTTGGTTCTTATATTTTCCCCATTCCCCTGCCCTCCCTTCACCCCATCTACCCTTCCCTATTTACATAGACTTTGTTTCCATTTTTTCCCTTTCTCATATCTTCTTTCCTTTCCCCTTTCCCTCCCACTTTCCCTATGCCTTTGGACCTTTTTGCCCTATTTCAAATGATCAATTATTCGTTTTAATCATTTTAATCCTTATTTACACTTTCAGTTTCTCACACCAGAGAAACTATTCGTATTTACATGTGTGTCCTATTTATTTCATATAAGAGTATGGCCTCAATGTGTATCCACTTAGCTAAAAATGTCTCTAGTTTCTCATTTTTTATGCCTGAGTAGTACTCCATTTTATATATTAAAAAAAAATCTTTATCCAGTCTCCAGTTGATGGGCACTTGGGCTGTTTCCAAGCTTTAGCTATTACAGACTGTGCCGCTATAAACATGGGTGTGCATATATCGATGTCCACTCCTGAGTCTTACCTGAAGCAACTTACACTGCAATGATTTTCTAATGCTAGCATATATTTCACATTTACTAATTAGCCCCTGGCATTCTACTGTAAGGCAGAATGTCACTTTTCCTCTCATTTATTATTTTAATATGTATTTATTATAAAGATGCACAGATTATTTTGTATCAGTGGTTTATCACTCTTTACAGATCTTGAAACTTCTCCTGTCCCAATGTTTCCCAGTGGGAGCCCCTTCAGGCTGGCTCCTATGTCTTTGGACCTGCCTTCCCCATACTTTGCTTGGGTTTTTTGAGACAGGGTCTCACTATATAGTTTCAGCTGGTTCAGCGTGGCCTTGAACTCAAAGTGATCCTCCTGCCTCAGCTTCCCGAGTGCTGGGATTATAGGTATGTGCCACCATGCCTATCTGTCTTCATTTTAGTTTTGAGCACTTCTTTACTGTCTAGGATAATGTTTTTAGGCTTAGCAATGCCCTGCAATCAGTTATTTCTCCAAGGATCTCTGCTTCCTTTCAATGTGGAGTGGTAGAGACTAAGGTCTCGGAGGTAGGTATGTTAGTATCTGGACTGCACTGAGTGAATAACTGTCTTGGGCCACATACAGATTCTGTCAGCGAACACGGCTAGACAGCATGAAACACATACGCACTCACAACTGTAAATGTATAAAAAAATAGATGCATACATGGGCCTATTTTGGAAACTGAGTCAACACCAATACTTTCAGTTCCAGTCTCCAAGGGCTTTCTTGCCTTTCCCTGCTCTGTGATTTGTCACTCCTCCTTCTACAGTAAGAATCCTTGCTCCCGAGAACATGAACACACTCATTCACTCAACTTCACAATACATCTAAAGTAGCTTCAGAATCATTTCACCCCTAATTCTATAAAACAAAACCAAACCCAAACAACCCTCAAATCTACTAAAAGTCTTCAGGATCGGTTTGCTGTTTTCCCAAGCAGTCATACACTGGGCTCAGCAAGTCATTTATGAGCAGTTCTCTTGTTTACCCTTTAGAGAGTTTGCTATGCTTAAAAGGTTGGGGAAAAAAGTTGGGTTTATGTGTTGTTGCTTGCTTTCAGTTTTATTCCCTCTCCCTTTCTATACTTGTTGATTTTTAAGTTATTTTTTTAAAAAATGGGGAACAAATGCAGAGAGGTGTCACTGTCTCCCACCCCCTGCCTCCATCCCTTGGAGGTAGTCGACTTCACTGTGTTCTAGTTTATCTGCCTGTATTTGTCTTATAAAGGTAAGCAGATACATTTGTACATTTTCTTACTTCCTCCTCCTCTTCTTCCTCATTTTTAACAAAATGAGGTAGTACACTATATGTCCTCCCCTTTCACTTAAAAATATCTACTGGAGGGCTGGAGATTTAGCTCAGTGGTGCTGCTGCCTGCCTCACAAGCACAAGGTCCCGAGTTCAACCCCTAGTACAAAAAAAAAAAAAAATCTACTGGAAATCATTCCATATCAGTGCACAGAGGTTTTCTTTTTAGTTAATTTATTTTTTGGGGTGCTGGGGATCAAACCCAGAGCCTCACCTGCTAGGCAAGCATATCATGGTTAGGCTCTGACCTGGGACCCTTGTCCCTCTCCACAGTAGCTCTGTTATGTGTCCACCCCATCTTCTAGGTGGGCATGATTATATAGTTTCTAATGTTTTGTAACTGAGAATAATGCTGCAATGAAAGCCATAAGCATAAGTGTTTTTTGTTATAAGGGATGTCTCTTTGGGATACACTTCTAGAGGTACAACTGCTATGCTGAAGGTGTGTGTGTGTGTCCCCACACACATGCATACATATATAGATTTTTTTTAGATACTGGCAAATTCCCATTTACAAGGGTCGAGTCATTTTGTATTTCCACTAATAATATAATAAGATTGTCTGTTTCCTCACAACCTCACCAGCAGAGTAGACCATCCGGTTTTTGAATTTCTGCTAGTCTGATGGGTAGAAATAATTCAGTGTTCGTTTTTCTGTGTTTTTTTTTTGTACTGGGGATTGAACTCAGGACCTTGCACTTTCGTGGGAGGTGGGGCACCACTGAGCTAAATCTTTGGCCCGCCCTTTTTCTTTTTTACTTTGAGACAGGCCCTTATTAAGGCACTAAATTGCCCAGGCTTGGCTTGAATTTGTGACCCTCCTGCCTCAGCCTCCCAGAGGGCTGGGTTTATAAGGTGTGGGTCACCATGTCTGGCTTCAGTGTAATTTTTTTTTTTTTTTGGTACCAGGGATCGAACTTGGATCCTTGTGCTTGCAAGGCAGGTGGCAGAACCACTGAGCTAAATTACCGGCCCCAGTGTAATTTTAATTTGCATTTTTCTTACTATGAGTGAAGCTGCACATGTTTTTATATGCTTAAAGAACAAACCTCTTGTTTTTAATTTTTGTTTATTTTTTGTAGGACTTTTGGTTTTCTCTCACATTTCAAAAAGTTCTTTATATTTTAGGGCTATTATTCCAATAGTGTGTTTTTCAGGAAAAAGTATCAACAGTTACACAATGTTAAGATATACAGGGCCGGGGATTTAGCTCAGTGGTTTCGTCGCCTGCTACGTAAGCTCAAGGACCAGAGTTCGATCCCCAGTACAAAAAAAAAAAAAGATATACAAACACTGTGTTGAGAACCACAAAGTGCTTATTCACATTTCACTCACTGAAACATTACCTCAAGCTCCAGAGTGTACCTGGTAAACACTACAGTAGATGAACATGGCTTGGAGATCTACAATGTTAAAGAAAAGCACTTCAAGGCCAGGTGTGGCAGTACACACCTGTAATCAGCACTCAGGAGGCTGAGGCAGGAGGATCACTGCAAGTATGAGGCCAGCCTGGGCTTCATAGTGAGTTCAAGGCCAGCATGGAATATATAGCAAGACCTTGTCTCAATCCTCCCCCATCCCCAAAGAAAAAGCAGTCCAAGAAGAAAAGTCTTAAATAAGGGACTCGGTATGTGTTGTGTGTTCTACTGGAAAGGCCTCATAGGAGTGCTCTTTGGGGGTGCATTGCTTACATCCTCACCATGTCTTGAAAGGGCTGGCCAGGCTCCTAGATGCCTTCAACACAGTCAGAGCAGAGGACGGCAGCGCAGGTATCCAGGTCAACCATGTAGGTGCTGAGGCAGCTCTTGCCTTTCTAATCTGGTTCCTTGTACTCCCTTTTACAGATCTTTCACTGTCCTGGGGAGATTTCTCTTCTCTTGATGATTTGTAAGAGGCATTTCCAGTTTGCCTACTACATATGCTGCAATATACTCCCTCACCCTTGTCATTTGCTTTATAGCTTTATATATAACTTTTTTTCCTATCAAATTTAGTTAGTTCATTTATGGTCATTTAAGGCTGTCTCTGGGAGTTATTTTGGAATATGGTCACTGGAAGTGATCAACCTTCATCTTTTTCCAAAAAGCTGTTTTTGTTCCATGACCAACTGTTTATCTATCCTATTCATATTGTTTTAAAGTTTTTACCTTGAAATAATTTTAGATACACAGAAGCATTGCAAAGAGAGTACAGAGTGCTCTTGTGCCTGCTGATTTTACATCGTGACTTTATTCAAATGCTATGCATGTTTTCCTCCCATTTTTAATCTTTGGTCTGATCCACACAATACATTTTACACACAAGTTACTTGAAATAGTAAAAATGAAAAAAAATCGTGTCTAAAAAGATAACTTTGTCTTTTCAATATTCTGCAAAAACAATATTTTTATAATTTGAAAAAGTAAATAAATATAATATAAATATAATTTAAAAAATACACAGGATCATTATGTATTCAGAAAATGGCTATTAGCAGCAACTCATTGAAGAATTTCAGCTAAGTGATGTTTTATTCTAACAGTTTTCCACTCCTGTCTTTGGAGTTCATTAATATTTGTAGCCACTTGGGACAGAGCTTTTCACAAAGTAAATTAGAATAAATAGTAGTGTAAGTACAGTGAAATTGGTCATTCTTCTTGGAAAATTCCTCAAGGATCTTCACTGCTTTCTAAATTCTACTCTGGTTTAGGGAAACACAGGTAGTTTTAGAGAAGACAATTGGGAAAGTTTCTGAGAAAACCTTAGCACAGTCTTCCCAATGAAATCTTTGTCTACAGAAACTCTATGGCAAATAGGTCAGGATGCATCCTTTCAAGTAGATTTAAGGACCAGTGCTTCCCTTGGAGAAACTGCTGGGAGAATTCCTAACAGACTTAGCAGAAGGGGTCACTGAAATTGGACAGAGTGACTACCATGCGATGGCAATGAAAACAAGCACTATGTAAGCACGAAGGTCGCAGCCATGGGACTCAGGCCTCTGCGCCTCCGACAGTGTAACTAACGCATGAAGCTGGAGACAGCCCACACACCAACCTGAGATGTCGGCAGAGCGACAAAGCTGGAAGAAAGGTTTTCTCCTTGGAATTTTTTTCTTAAATCAAAAGGTTTTTGGGGGAGCAGTTGTAGATTTACACAAAAACTGAGCAGAAAGTACACAGTTCCATTTAACGAGCCCATTCCCATTATTATCTTGAGGTGATGTGGCACCTTTGTGACAACTGATGAGTCAGTTCTGATAACTGTTACTAACCAGTGTGTATACACTCGGGTTTACTATGTGTATTCTATGGGATTTTACAAATGTGCAAAGGGCCCATATTCACTTTTAAAACATCACACAGCAGTTTCACTGCCCTAAGACTCCTCAGTGCTTCCCTGCCCTTTAAACTCCCCAGCCCCAGGCCACAGGAAGTGGTCTCTCTACATCTCCACAGTTTTGCCACCCCACACGGTACACTGGAGGCACACAGTGTGGAGCCTTGCAGATTGGCTTCTTTCACTCAGCAGTGTGCATTTACATTTTCTCACGTCTTCCTGTGGTTTGGTACTAAGGAACTGAACCCAGAGCCTTTTTGAGCTGAGCTGCTTCACCATCCTTTTTAAAAAAAATTTAATTATTTTGTTTTGAGAGAGAATCTCATTAAGTTGCTAAATTACCCTGGCTGGGCTGGAACTTGCAATCCTCCTGCTTCAGCCTCCCAAAGTGCCAGAATTGCAGGTGTGTGCCATCATGCCCGGTGAGCTCAGTTGTTTTTATTGGCTGAATCATATTTCACAGTCTGGATGTATACACTCACCTATTTAAGGACATTTTAGTTGTTTCCAAGTCTCGTCATTTATGAGTAGAACTGCTATAAACATCTGTGTCCAGGGTTTTTGGTGGACAGATATTTTCAACTCCTTTGGTCAACTAAGGAGCACAACTACTGGATCACGTGGTAGGCTATGTTTAGTTTTGTTAAGAAACCACTAGGCTGCCTCCCAGAGTGGCAGTACCATTCTGCATTTTCACCTGCAAGAAATCAGAGCTCACGTCTCACATGCAAATTCAAGATGTGTGTAAAGGGAGGTAAGAGAAAGTTTTTCCATTAAGGAAAATCTCAATATTTACTTAAACTTCCTAAAACAAAATGCATCGTTTAGAAGCACGTGCATTTTATCTTCACCTCCCCTTTGTTGTACGTTAGTTTGTCTTGAGAAAGTTACAGGGCTCTCCGCAGCTCTGCTGTGTTCTCTGAGCCCCTCAGGGCCAGGGAAACAGTCTAATTAATTACCTGCATCCCTGATTGCTATGATGTGGGCCCCGTCCCTTGCCTCACCCAGCTCTTTCTTGAAGTTATCAATGTTCTTTTTCCTTGAGTAACATCAAACTTCACACTGTATAGCAGTGACAAGTTAATTACATAGTTATTACAGGATAATGTGGGGGTAGTAACATAAGTTATCATGTAATTACCTTTGTTCTTAGAAGCATTACCATGTAATTAAAGCAAATCTGATATAATATTTTAGCAAGCAACAGTACTGAACTCTATTCTCCCTGCCTTCTTCTCTACAGAAAAAATTTGTTCTTAGACATTTATAGTTCACTTTAGCTTTTCAGTTCTCTTGTTTATTTGCCATTTTTCTTAGATATCTGCCCATTAGTGATGATTTTTTTTTTAAATACTGAGGATTAAATCCAGGGACCTCACAGTGAGCTATACTCAGCCCTTTTTATTTTGTTTTTTGGGTTTTTTTTGGTACCGGGGATTGAACTTGGGACCCTGCGCTTGTGAGGCAGGCGCCGGAACCACTGAGCTAAATCCCTGGCCCTACTCAGCCCTTTTTAAATTTTTTATTTTGAGACAGGGTCTTACTAAGTGACTAAGTTGCCCAGGCTGGGCTCAACGTGTCAGTCCTGCCTCAGCTCCCAGAGTGCTAGGATTACCATGTCCGGCTCTAGTGATGATTTCTGTGCTCTCTTAAATGGGCTTAAACTTTTTACCTTCTATGCCTATAGTTACCAGGTATGTGGTGCTGTATGGCACATGAGGCAGTTAACCTGAGTTGTTTTATGTATTTATTTATTTTTGGTACTGGAGATCAAACTAAGACCTCTCACTTGTCAGGCAGGCATTGTGCCACTGAGCTAATTCCTGGCCTAGGAGTTAACTTGAAGGCTCTGTCTTCTAAAGCTTGTATCTTGTACATATACTTGCTTCATGAAAGAGAATAAGATACAGATTAAAACTGACTGATCTGAAATCTCAGTTTTCTAGACTCATGCTACTACCACATCTATACTTAACTTTTATTATAAGCAAATAAAAAAAAGTAAAAACATGGAATGTAACAAAAATAACCCGATTCATTCAATCACCTAACAGCTACTGAATGTGTACGTACTGGGATGGATCCAAAGAATTCAAAGTTGGACAATACACAGTATGTGTCTTCGAGGTCTATGGTTTGGGAGAGAAAGTCTTGCATGTACTTAGAAAGTGCATAATAACTCAGTTTGGAGATAACAACAAGAAATACTTCCTGAAGAAAATGACAGGAGTTGGGCCTTGAGTAAACAGCATTTTGCAGAGATGGACATTACAAGCAGAAGAAAACGTAGTCAGGTGTGGTGCCACATGCCTGTAATCCCAGCACTGGTGAGGCTGAGGCAGGAGGATCGCCATGAGTTTGAGGCCAGCTTGGACACACAGCAAGATTCTGTCTCAAAAAAAGGAGATGGGGAGGGCCAGGGATTTAGCTCAGTGGTTCCAGCGTCTGCCTCGCAAGCACAAGGTCCCAAGTTCAATCCCTGGTACAAAAAAAAAAAAAAAAAAAAAAGAAGGGGAAGAAGAGGAGGAGAAGAACAAGAAGATGATGATGACATAAGTACTGTTCATGGGACAAAGCATTTTGGAAAATAGTAAAAGAGCAGTTGTGTCGAAGACATGGCAGGAGAGGCAAGATCGGGACAGAATGTCAAGATCTTGTGTGACCTGCTATAGAGTCTGTAATGTAATCAACAGAGAGCCAACCAAAGACTGTGAGCCCGAGAGGTTCATGATGACACTGTGTCTAGGCAGCTCATTCTGGCACAAGCAAAGGAGCCTGAACTGACAGGAAAGCAATGTTAGCAGAGAGGACCAATAGGTGTGAGTCTACTGCAGCCTTCGAGGGTTGGTTCTCAGAGTATCACCGAAAGCCCACCATAGACTGACTGAGAGTTCTAGTTTTACACTTAACATGTGCAGTGTTGAAGGCCGAAAGAAGAGCAGTTTAGCCAGGCGTGCAGCACAGGCAGAAGTAGTGGGAAAGGTGCAGGCAGGGACAGCAGGGCGCAGCGAGTCTCCTGGGCCACTACCGGAAGCTGGGACTTCAGTCTTAGTGTGATGTGAAGCTGTGCCCAACACTCAGCATGGGAGTGAAATATTCAACTTCTTTCTGAAATGATTATTTTGGCTACTGTGCAGAAAACAGAATGAGGTGTCAGAAAGGGTGAAAGCTGGAGAGCAGGCGGGAGGCTACGGTAGTGAGTGGAAAACAGGCCTGAATTCAGTCACAGCAGAGAAACAGCAGCGAATGGATCTGAAATAGAACCTTACAACCAAATCAAAAGAATTCGCTAAAAGTTTAGACAGAGGGGACGAAAGGACTCAAGAGTGACTGCAAGGTTTCCAGCTTTGGGTGTCTGATGTTTCACACTCTGAGTGGTAGATGGACCATGTGGTAGGGAACACTTTCAAAACTGGAAAAATAGGAAGAAGGATGTGAAGTGTACAAATGCACATGCATCGGGTCCATTTACTCACTGCCCTGTTAAGAAAAATCACTTCATTACAGAGGGGGCAGTTGAAACATTTTGTGCATATGAATTGACCTTTACTACTATTCAAGGGCCAACAACTTATGGTTCTTCTAGGGGCTACTTGTAACAATGCATGGAAAATGAATTGAGCTAACCCAGTGCTCTCTTTCAGGAGCCGGAATGGAAAGCAAAGACAGGCCAAGAAGCTGATACAGATTCGAAGAAACAGACACTTGAGGCAGCTGAGCATCATTCCTGAATGTAGCCATGCAGTGAAGACCCAGAAGTTTCTGCCGCTGGCATTTCTAGAACTGATTTGCATCTGGGATCGCAGTCAGTTCCATTCTTAAAGTTTTTTTTTTTGGTACTGGGGATCGAACTTGGGTCCTTGTGCTTGTGCAGCAGGCGGCGAAACCACTGAGCTAAATCCCCGGCCCCATTCTGCTCCATTCTTAGTGAAAACCAGTCCAGTTCTGGCTCTAGAGATTTCTCTTATAACAGGTAACACTTAGGGAATCCTTAACACCAGTTAGGCGTTGTGCTTTATAAACATTACTTCGTTTAACTTTTGTAAAAACCTCAATGAGATAGAGTACTCATTATCTTCGTTTTTCTAGAGGAAGAAACAGGCTTAGAGATGTTAAGTAATTTGTCCAGAGTACTTGGTTTAGCCTGTTTGTGCTGCTATTAACTGAATACTTAAGACCGAAAGAACTGAGATTTATTTTGTTCAGTAAAATAAGTAGGAAGTCCAAGATGGTGGCACTGGTGTGTGGTGCCTGGTGAGGGCCACTTGCTGTGTCCTTGTGTGGTAGAAAGTAGGAAGGAACTGAGAGAAGAGCAAGCCAGCCAAACACTGCACATAGCCTCTCTTTAAAGGGGCCCCAATCCCATTCATGAGGGAGGAACCCTCATGGCCTAATCACTTCTTAAAGGTTTAACCCTTAATGCCATCACCGTTGGCAACAGGAATTTTAGAGTGGACATATCCTAACTGTAACATCCCTGAAATTAAAGATGGTACTCCAACTCACATCTGTTGACCCATTGTCTTAGTCACTAAGCTCAATGTCTTCCTTATACGGAAAAACATTCCTCAACCTGGAAGAGGTGAGATGGGTTTCCGTGGCTTCTGACCGAATGGATGGGATGAGAGCACCCGCAGCTATCACATGGCTGCACTGCTGCATCCCGCCTCCTCCCCGAGCCAAAAGCTGCCTCACATGGCTGCCATTCTCTAGAGAACGGTCAGAATGAAACAAATTACTGTACTGTGGGGATTCTGAAGTGTACATAGAAAAGATAAATGACATATTATAACCATAAATCCATATACTTTCTTTATCCTCTGTCTTCGAATACTTTAACGTAGAAGATCTAAATACAACTGTGAAAAGCCAATTTCCTCTTCCACTTTTTGAAAAATGAAAAGAAATGGCTCTAGTGGTATCTTCTAAGTAACAAAATTTTACGACACGCTACTCCACGGCTTAAAGATTTAACTCGGGGTGAAAACTACACTACAGATGAACACACGACACAGAATTTGAAAGACAAAATCCTTAACATCTTTTGCTATCTTTTTGACAGACAGAGTCTGTTACACTAGGCTTTAAAATTGGCCGTTCCTTAGCTATCGTAATTTTTTTTTTTTGACTCTCACATGCTAGGCAAATGCTCTACTATTGAGCTGTATATTCTCAGCTCTTTTAAAATTTTACTTGAGACAAGGTCTCTCAACGTTATCAAGGTTGGCCTTGAACTCGTCATCCTCCTGCCTCAGCCTCCTGAACAGTGGGGATTACAGGTGTGCACCTCCATGCCCAACTCTACTGTAATTTTTTTTTTTGGTATTGGGGATCGAACTTGGGTCCTTGCACTTGTGCAGCAGGTGGTGAAACCACTGAGCTAAATCCCTAGCCACTATTGTAATTTTTAATCAGTCATTTAGGCAGGGCATGAGAAGTTTACTGCAAAATACTGAAAAATTGTAATAGATATGGGAAGACACATGAAATATAACACAAACATTTTTAATTTATCATCTCTAAGTGAGAGATTTTTTTTAAACTGTAAAGTCATTCTGGTCTTCTGCTGGGGGCAGGCAGAGTGTTTACATGAAGATCTTTAATCAAGCTCAATGAGAATGCAGTTTCTATACAAGGTAAGCAGCTCTTCACTCTGACTCATTCTTTGCTTGATATGTATTAACTTTCATCATCAAAACGGCAACTAAAAGCAAGCTAGAACATTTTAGAATTTTCTTTAATGCAGGAATTTAGAAAACAAAAAATGGAACTGAAACTTTTATGTGTGTTGGTCATGTATAAGACAAAAACATGTTAAGTGTACCAAAGATGGTAACAAATATCTTTGCCACAAAGACATGATTTAGGTTATTTTATAATTGTTTTATTAATTTGTTATAGTTGATTTTTCAGAAGAATCATGCATTTCATTTTGGTACCAGGGATCAAATTCGGGTCCTTGCGCTTGCAAGGCAGGTGGTGGAACCACTGAGCTAAATCCCAGCCCTGAATCATGCATTTCTTCTGCTGGTATAGTGTGGCTCACCATCTCTGACATTGGATTTGGGCTCCAGTTGTGTTCTAGTGGTAGCCTAATTACTAGAATGAGAAAAAGTCTGAAAAACCTTTAGTCATTAAATTCATATATTTAACAAGTTATGACCTTGCAGTCTTGTTGTACCTGAAAACACTGTTACAAGGGCTTGGCTATTATTACTAGGGGAAAGTTTTAATAAAAGCTAATTAAGCTACCAAACTGCCGTGCGGGCCAAGCGGGTAAGTGATTTTAGGGTCTAGATTTCTGGTACTTCTAATTATCCTCTGACAGCTTTACTTAGTGTTCCACCTCCATGACAGATGACAATGAAAACCTGCAGTGAAATCCATCCATCCTGACACTGCTAAGCATCAGCTTTCGCTCTCTCCAAGCAAAATCAATACTGTTTGAGTAAACACGTTTACAGCTTTATTAGGATGTCTCGCTTGTCCTGTAACAGCTACTTGAAGCTGTGGTAACAAATCGACTCAACTCAGTTAAACCTAGAGAGCTGGGTAAGAGGCCCATCGATAAGGTTGTTATAAAAATAAACTGCAGGAGATCAGAAAGCTGGAGCAAACAGTCTGGTAAATGTCAATATTTTCCCTTACACAGGATGACAAAAACAGTGAGATCATGTGGAAAGCCTTTTTTCTCTCCTTACAAAGTTTCTTGTTTCGATTGGGTAAAGCATTTCTGCTTTTAAAAAATGCGTGTGTGTGCACCACTCTTCTGAATTAAATTTCCACTTCCTAATTCCCATGTGAATCCAGAAAAGGAAGTTGATATAAATATGTGGTGTTTTTCATGCCATTTTAGATTCCTTATATTCTTTAATGTTTAGACACACGTTTTGGTATTCATGACAATAACAACCACATCCAAGTCATCTGAAATACCTGTGGTGGCTCAGACTTACTTTCCTTTCATTAAAAGGAAACTTTAGTATCTATCATTTGGGAGATTAGTCTAATGCAATAATATATGTGAGAATGAAGTTGTACTTTCAAAATTGGGCCTTCTGTGTTTTCTGCATTTAACAAGAACAAGCAGTGTGGCTTTCCACAGGCCAAGCGGTGGCAGTATGCATGAATGCCTGCGACCAATTAGGAGCAGGCAGGGCACAGTGGGCACAGCCCCACGGAACAACAACTCACAGGCCTTCGTCTAGATGTCCACAGGTTGCTCAAAGAACTAACATCTGGCAGGAAATTCCCACTTCAACTAGGCTAACTTAGACTATCCAGATGTGACAAGCTAATGGTTTCCCTTTGCTGAAAAGTGCTCAGAGAGATTTTTCTTTCATCTTCTTTGTAGTCTAGATTGCCAAATTTTGTTTGGTTCTAACTTCATATTGACTACCATTACCAACTAGTCATAAACTAGTCATATAAGAACTTGTGACTCATCTGTTAGAAAACAGATTTTTCAGGGAAATGGAAATCAACAAACACTAAATTTTGAAGTAAATTAAGCTACCATGCCGGCCAGGGTAAGGTCTAACCTAGTGGGTATTTGCATAATGAAAACCAAAGTGTAAGTGGTGTCAGAGAATGCAGTGTTTGACCTGAACAGGAAGCCAATTCAGAGCCATGGCCCCTTCATAACAGCTTGCCACTGTGTACACTCAACATGAAATGCAGAGCTATGAGGTGATGTGCGGAATATACACGCACATAGTCAGAGTCCAAACTACGAAAGTAACATCTGTGTGCTGCAACTACAGCCCTGTCGTTGAGGATGACTTATTCCCTTTGTGGTGGCTGTTTAGTTTTTTTTGTTTTGTTTTGTTTTTGGTACCGGAGATCAAACTCTGGTCCTTGCGCTTGCGGGACAGGCGGCGGCACCACTGAGCTAAATCCCTGGCCCTGGCTGTTTAGTTTTACTAACATAGGTCTGGACACTCTCTTCAAATTAAGAACAAAAGCAAAAGTCATCCAATTTAAAAATGACCACTAGGGTTGAAGGTGTAGTTCAATGGTACAGCACGTGCTTAGCATGTGCAAGGCCTTGGGTTCAATCCCCAGCACCAAAAATAAAGTAGAAACCCCAGAGCCAAACCCCAAACTCATTAGGACAAAGTCAGCTCTTAGAATAAGATAATAGCAAACTTGTTCATGTAAAGCTGTACTTAACGCCCTAATTTATCAGCAAGGTAACTAATTTTGTTACTGTTTAACTCAATTTAAAAAACCTGTACTTGATCAAGTGAGTTTCTCATAGCAGTATGATTCTAAAATGTTAAAAGTATTTGATGACAGAAACTTTTTTTTTGGTACTTGAGATTGAATTCAGGACCTAAGAATGCTAAGCAAGCACTCTATCTCTGAGCTATATCCCCAGCCCCCTTCTTTTTATTTTTGTGGTTTTTTTTTTTTTTTTTTTAATGCTCTTTGAGAAAAGGTCTCCCTATGTAATTCAGGCTGGCCTTGAACTCAGTATGTAGCCCAAGCTGGCCTTGAACTCATAGCAATCCTGCTTCAGCCTTGAGAGTGCTAGGATTACAGGTGTGCGTCGCCATGCCTGGCTCATCTCCAGCCCCTTTTAATTTTTTATTTTGAGACAGGTTTTGGTAAGTGGCCCAGGCTAGCTTTGAATCTGCTATCCTCCTGCCTCAGTCTCCTGAGTAGCTGGGATTACAGGAGTGTACCACTGTGCCTGGCTTAGAAAAGTTTTTAATTTGCCATTTATTTTATGGGCTAGAAATGAGACATATAAGAGTCTTTTCTGTCTATCACTTGTACTCTAACATTTTGGCCATTCTTTTAAGATTATGGCACACAGTGTATTAACTGTTATTCTTTAATTAATTTGTTATGAAATTTTGCTTTATCTTTTCATAGAAGACTGTTTTTAAAAACATTTTCTTTTTCTTTTTTTTATTAAATTCTTTTATTGGTACATTGTAGGTATACAACACAATTACATTTCTCATTGGGAATTGTACCTTTACATGATGCATCTTGGTTCTTATTTTTTCCCTATTCTCCTGCCCTCCCTTCAACCCCTCCATCCCTCCCTATTTACAAAGACTTTGTTTCCATTTTTTCATTTTCTCATATCAATTCCATTCCCTTCTTTCCTTTCCCCTGCCCCTCCCACTACCCCCTACCCCTTTGGACCTTTTCTTCCTATTTTGCATTATCGATTATTCATTCTAATCATTGGTACATTTTAGGTATACAATATAATGACATTCATCATTGGAAATTTGAACCTTTACCTAATCTCTCTTGGTTCTTTTTTTTTTTTTTTTTGGTACTGGAGATCGAACTCGGGTCCTTGCGCTTGCGCAGCAGGCGGCGAAACCACTGAGCTAAATCCCCGGCCTCCTGGTTATTTAAAAAGATTTTCTTTATTAATATCTACTTGTATTACATTGAAATAAAAAAGAAATAAAACATATATCTTACTCCATAAAATATCAACATTAACTGGACAACTGAATGAAATACAAAGAGCCTGTGTTCAAGTCCCAGGTTGGGGAACTCATATCTGAAGTGAAAGAAGATACTAATTTGGTAATCATATTGCTAATTTTTTTGTTTTATTTAGATCTTTGCTAATGTTAAACAGCCTTACAAGGTCAAAGGTTACATTTCATACTAATTATGCAGTTTGGAAGTTTGTGTCTACTGAATTTTTTGACATGGCTAAGACTTCTGTCTTAGAAATTATATTAAGAGGGCTGGGGATTTAGCTCAGTGGTTTCGCCACCTGCTGTGCAAGCGCAAGGACTCGAGTTCGATCCCCAGTACCAAAAAAAAAAAAAGAAGAAAGAAATTATATTAAGAGCAGGGAACGTAACTCAGTAGTAGAGCACTTGCTTAGTATGTGCAAGACCTGGGTTTGATCCTCAGCATTGCAAAAAACAAAACAAAACAACTCAAAACCAACCAAACAACAACAACAAAAGACCACAAAGTGAATAAAAGCACATTATATAAAAAATTCAAATATCATTGAGACATATGATGTTTTGATGTCACATGTCAAAAAGTGATAATCTCATCCACCCACCTCCCAGTATATGCAGTCTCGTTTGGTGTGTTTCTTTTTGGGACTTTCATATGCATTTATAAATATACACACAACATGAACACATAAGGCCTTTTAAAATAAAATATAAAT